TCATAACCCCCAGCATTAGCCCCGATATGGCCATTGAAATCCCCTCCAATAAAAATCTTCTCGGTGCGCGGAATACTACGCACCACCTCATCCAAATCCTCCTAGAATTGCCTCTTAACCTCCTCGCCCAAGCCTACTTGAGGAGCATAATCACTAATCACACTTAAAGTAAGCCCCACAACCACAAACTTAACCCCCATCACCCTATTGCTTACCCTCTTAACCTCGGCCACTAGCTCTCTAAGATCTTTGTCAACTAAAATACCGACCTCATTCTTGCCCCCAACACCTCTAGAGTATCACAGTTTATACTCGTTAACATCATGTGCCTTAGTACCCTTCCACCTGGTCTCCTATGCACACGCTATGTTGATCCTCCTTCTCTAAAGAATCCTACCCAACTATATAGTCTTACCTGTCAACGTCTCTATGTTCCAGGACCCAACTCTTAGCCTATAAGCTTCCTTGTCCCCTTTCCCACCCTTGCTACCCACCTCCCGCCCCATCCGAGGACATGACTTTACTCTCACATTATAAACCACAATCATTATAGACTAAGGGTGCTATTTAATCACTACCACTCAACCAACAGAGAGCTAGAACAGAGGAAAATATGCTAAGAATATGAGAACTTAACAAGTTAAAAGTGTCAATAACAAGTACAAAAACTCAAACAAGTTTTAGCACACTTAATCTACCTGAAGAGACAGATGTAACGGGCAAGGTTGAATTGAATACAAGGCACTACCAATAAAGAAAATATGCTAAGAAATATGAAAACTTAACGAGTTAAAGGTGTCAAGAACAAGTACAAAAACAAGAACAAAAACCCAAGCACGTGCTAGCGCAATTAATCTACCTAAAGATACAGATGCAACAAGCAAGGTTGAATTTAATACACGGCACTACCGATACATAAACAGAAAGATGTAACAGAGAACAAACCGACTAAAAAAATTGCAACTAAAAATGGAGAGGTAGAACATGAAAATCGGAGAGCTGGCCAGAAGTTGGGTGGTTGATTCCGCCGGAAAATCCTGGGTAGTAGCCACCAGAAATAGCTGCCTACCCAACCGTTTAAACTAAAAATAACCCTCGAATGTGTAATATTTATATATAACCGTGTATAATTATTATATACTCTACGCATACTAGCTAGAAAAAATAAGCAACGAATTCATCTGGCTATTTGTGTAAAAATCCCGAAAAGTGGCCAGTGAACGTTTTTTTCCATCTAATGAAAGGAGTAGGCCCAATGGATTTCACACGGAGGCCCAAAACACTATAAGCTCATGAATACGAATTCCGATTGGTTTCTGCCCCGACATTTGAAATTAGGGCAGTCTCTTCTCTTAGGATTTTCCATCTCTCTACGGCGAATTTCTCGGTGATCTCTCTCCAGTGAATCAAGTTGTAAGTTCCCCTCTTTCTTTTCTTTCTCGATTTCCTCCTCTCCTTCGTCATGAATGAAACTAAATCCCTAATCACTTTTCATGTTGAAGCGCTTATTTTTAATCTGATGCTATGCTTTGTGTCTAATTTCACTGCAAAAAGAAGTCCACGCCGATTCGTATAATATGAAAGGAAATTTAAGAAAAACTGCCCCAAAAATTGGATTTTTATTGTCATGATTTTGTGATTGATGATAGTCTTGAATTTCAAGTCTAATGAATTCCTTTTACTTATAAAGTAAAAGTCTTTTATGAACCCTATCTGATTATTTATAATGGGTTGGTTTTGCTGCAATCTTGGTAAATTTTCTGCATCCAGTGCGTAACGATGCCATTTTTTTCTGTATACCTGAATCGTGTGGTTGGTTATGTATAGCTCGTCAATAGCCATATTGAAATCTGTTGCAGTTATGGTATCCACTAATTTTACATATCACCTATAGATGCAAGATACCTCTAGTTTTATAGAGTCCTAGTTTATCCTAAAAGGCAGTTTATCAAGTATTGGAATGAAATCTGCGTGAATTGAGCGGAATGGATATTAAGGGTTCATATAGCTAACCCTAACTAGTGTGGGACTGGGGCGTTCCTGATTTGTTGATTGTTACATACCAAGATGCGAGATTGGCCATTTACGGTTTTGCATATCAAAGCATTCATGTTTTATTTTGGACTACTTACTTTGTTAGCAGAAACCATTGCCCCAATGCAGTTATGGGATCTGCTAATTTTATATGTGACCTACAGATAGAGTAAAATCTAAGATTTAAAAGCAATGACTGCATCACTTGACATATATACATATTTATAGAATTCTTCTTGTATTTGGTATATGTATATATGTACAAGGATATGCTTATATGTTGGATTTGCCTCTGCCTAAAAGATATCTTTATTTGACCATTTGCAGTTTTGAGTGTTATAGGGGGTGGATATGGATTTGGAGACAGAGAACAGAATTGCAGCAATTCTGTTGAAAGAGGCTGCAGAATTGCGGCGGCAAGCAGAGTCAGATGGTGCACTTTCTTATCTTCATCGGCCTAATGTCAGGGGGAGACCAAATTCACGGTTTTTAACAGCAACTGTTCTTGGAGTACAACAAGGCACGCATCGCTTTTATTTCCCACTACGAGTTCTAGCTTTTTGTTCGGGTTGATCCATTACTTCTCATTTCCCGTCTTTGAAAACTCTTTCATCTAAAGTAACTCAATATTTACTGCACTTAATTGGAATTAGTGTCAGTTATTCAGCTAAGATCACTTTCTCTAGGCAGAAATCTGGTGTTATGCTCTGCCAGCATCTCGCTGAGCAAATTTAGAGTCTAGTGACAATAGATATGCAAGCTTAGAGTAGCCGACTGGTGCACACGATTTATAAGTCAAAACAAAGTAAGAAAGCTTAGAGTATGATCGATTTTAGCCTTGCATTTCGTAACAATTTACTCCTGTACGAGAAGAGTTGAATGAAAAGACCACAAAATCATAAGAGTATTTTCAAAAGAATCAGTGACTGAAAGAAGTAGAAGAAGAAATAGGACACAGAAGCCTCTTACTAATTAGAGAAAAAGAATTAACCAGGTCAAATACCATGTAGAGGAAAGGACGTTCTGTTGAAAGAACTGTTTTTTCCACTTTGTGCGTGCGGGCATTGCTCTGTCATTAGTAGCTCTTGCAAGAGTATTAGGAACTCACGAGATTACACAAGCACTTAGCACCTACAATCAAGTTTTTTAGAAGATAATATAAGAACTACTTCATGCATATTCACTACTGATTTAAAAGAAGAAAAAATCAACTACTTCATGCATATCCTTATGTTTTTTCCTTGATTTTGTTGTGTGAATGTTGTGCTGCCTTAGTAGGTTCTACACAACTCGACTTTTGAAAAACCTACATGAACTAGGGGTTAGACCGGAAAATGTGAAAGTATAGTTTATCTGAAGGGTAAAATTATTCTTCACATATAGACACAAAGCACTATTCTTTCTCGGACAGGTTTCTTATATTAGTGCTCATAGTCGCATCTTTTGTGGCTCTGAAATTTACTAATTGCAGCTAACCGAGCTGTTGAAGTAAATGAAATGTGGAAGTTAAGGCAGAAAGAGGTGGAGCTTGAGAACAGGCTTAAAGGGAGGTTGGCAGATAAGAACAGAGATACAAAGTGTCATAGCTCTAGTGTCTCGGAAAGGAGGTCACATGAGAGATGTGATACTGATTCAGGCACGAGTGGATCAAAGAAAAGAGAGATGCAGGATTCTCATTCCAGTGAGGATGATGGCTTGAGAGATGCTGAAATTGAGGAATTTTTACAGTCAAGGTCAGTCTTTCTCTCAGAACATCTATTTGCGCATCTCTGTGGCTGCATGCATTGAGTCTTAAACTTCTCACTTCCTTGTCCTTTTGTGGTGTCACAACTTCGATGTGCCTCACATTGCTAAATGAACATCTTGTTATTGGCAGGGTCAAGCGTGGCAGGGGAACTGTTGGGTCACGGATGGATGAAGCTGGCCCTTACCTTCCTTCTGGTCCGGATCCTAGAGAAAGAGAGTCAGCAAGTCCTGATATGAAGCTAAGCAAAGGACGCGCATATCATGTTGTCATTGGTCCAGAGAAGCCCGTCTGGCTGAATTCCCCTGGTTCTTTAGAAAATGAATCTCTGTCAGAAGATACGACAAAGGGCCGGAAGAAGGCTAAATCCAGTAAACACCACCACCAGTGTAGGAAACATAGATCAAAAAAGAAGTCCAGGGACAAGGAGGATAAAAGGAGGAGAGAGGAGAAAAGGGTTAAACGTCACAGATAGATATTATCACCTAATCAGTGTATATTAACTTTTTCTCTTCCTTGTTGATGATTCAGAGGTTCGTTCAGATGTTAAACGTCAGAACTTTTATTCCTGCTTCATGGAGTTTCATTGTTGTGTAATTTTGTATATTTTGCTCATTTCTCCTGTAAAGATGACCTTTTGAATAAGCCGTCTCCATTTTCACTGCACTACTTCAACTTCTTATCTACACTAACGAAATTTTATGCAAGCTTCTTCAAGAAAAAAATGTCAGTGTAAGTCGTATATTATACTATCTTGTATGGCTGGACAACTAATTGATTTGACCTCGACTAGCCAGTCTCAAAATCAGGGGGCCACCTATGAGTGAAAATATCTAAAGGTATTGACCCGTGAAATTACGTGTCATTACTTCAGAAGAATTCAGGAGCCAATATGAGATGACCATTCTGAAGTAAGCCAAACGCTGTAAACATCATTTTAAGTTGTTAATCATGAGAGTAAATCAACTCATTACCGACGTCAAATCATTTTATCCCTTGAAAACTGAGCAGTTGGCTAATATTAGCAGCTCCAGTTTCACTCTGAGAGTTCCTATTCCCGTCCGCCATATCTTTAGGTAATTTACTATGGTACAAGCTATTTGATGACACTCCATCTGCCGACTGCCATCTTAAAAGTAATTTAATCTTGAAAACAGCCGATAGCCAGCCACAAAAACAATACACGCAAAACTCAGCACAGTATCATAAATTGCTCCAATGCTGACTGAAAACGTCTTTATATCAGAAAGAACCTTTTTGTAACTTTTTGAGGCTCATTTCTTCAGTAGACAAGAGTCTTGTACAAAGCGTCTGAATGTTCTACTATAGTTGTTCGGAAGTACAGTATAACACATCTCTTAAATAAGACATCAAAATTTTCTAATTATACATTGTCTACAACAACATAATTAACAACATATATATGATTATGAATCCTCCACGTGGTGATCCGTCTCATCAAAGATTTCCTCCTACACAAAAAAAAAATAAAAAATAAAATAAAAAAATAAATAAATATCGACATTTAGATACCTCGGAGCTGCAAAAGTCATGGAAAGTATTGAAATCTAAAAGCTCTACATATAGCAAATTTATCCAGTTCACCTGTAAAAGCTCTTCAATAACATCTTCCATAGTTATTATTCCGACAACCTCTTCCTCTTCTGGGAGTTTTGGCAGGGGATTTCCATCAATTCGCAGAATGTCCGAGTACATATCTCTAGTCCACTTTTTGTTCCTAGAACTTTTGAATGAAGCATTTCCACCATTAGGGAAACTCTTCCACTTCTGCAATGATCGCTTTGTCTTCAGACTCTTCTCTAGGGGAGGCTTTTCACCATCAATGTCAACCCTGACATCCTTCACGGGATCTAGAGAGCAAAGAGAAGGTGGAATGTCCAGATTAGAGAAGGTTTACATGCGAGAAAAGCAAAATAAGCCAGCAAGCAATATGTACTCTCTGCAGGGGATTTGGTATCAGGATGATCCATATCCTTGTTGCACTGTCTTACAACCACAGCCATGTGGCTATGACCTTTCTGAAACTCATTCAGGATGTCATCCAAATGCATAGTATCTGGGACCCTGCACCATAAGAGCCGGAAATCATGAAGGTGTTTATGAGGGATATGGGAAGCATAAAACAATCATTCACACACAGTAATTTCAACCTAAAACGAATGCAAGCATCATTGACACAAACCAGATGGCCTTCCATTCTTGCGAAAGGTTAGATGACATAAAACACATGACTAAAATTATCCTCATCTTGAACACACATGATACTACCACTGACAGCATTTTAGTTGCCCTCTGTCTACATTCAAGTTAAATGTCATTTTCACTTTCATGAGTCAACCTTCATCATTTTCTATCAATGCGTTTTAAAGTATTTTAAAACAAGAAATTACCCATTTTTCTGTATTTTCATGTAATTTATGAACAAATGAACTTTTTTCAAATAAAGTGAATCATTTTTTTATTTCAAATAGAATACAGGTTGAACCAACTCTCAGTGAATGGAGTAATGACAGTCAATGTGAAACCATGGAAGTAAGAGATGTGGTGAAATATATCATGGAAGAGAATTTTCAACTGTCCTATACTATAATGAATAGACGCATACAAGAGATCTGGGAAATCTTTTCTTTACCCCTTAGTTTTTGAATTCATTGATCCCTCCACTCAAAGTTAGTTTTTAAATTAATTGAACATACATCTTCTTCAGAGATTGTTACACTCAAATCTTTCAGAGAAATTCCTTCAGGAAACCAGTTCTTTCCTATTTATGACTATCAGGATAAGCCCAAAACTCCTTGTAAAATAGATAAGCCAGTTAAAACACATCATAAATTCAGTTTATGACCTTAGTTTCTGATATACTATTATAAATCACTCAACATCAAACAGAAATCAAGCATGCAGCCTAAGTTGTTCCCACAAACAGACGCACAGCGACTACCTCCCTCCCTCCGTTGTAATGCACATGTGGAAACATCACCTACCACTTTATGTGGGTTCTACCCCCAAATCATCAGACCAAATCTCAGTCCCTAGAGGAAGTTACGCCTAACTGATGCTTGTCAGATAGATGTCTAGCAAGTTTGCTAGCTTGAGTCGGGAGGAAAACTTGGATAAGCCACATTACTACCTAGGAGGATTTCTTTCATCTGCAGCTATATTGAAAGTATCAGGTAGTGTATTAGTTCACTCTTTATAAGCCAAACTTGAATAAGTCCTTTAACTCATTCATATCAGGACTTGTCCATTCATTATCAATTCAAGGTTTAAGCTATTTTCTTTTTTTGGTGATGTCTAACTTGTATGCACAACCTACAGACGTCTATTATGTATTGTTCCGGAAAATGGATGTCCAGACTCAAGACTGTAAACCTCTAAAAAAGGAAGCTCGAGAAGTGGGGAAAAAGTACCCTCTTTTATGATTTTAAAGTGGGAAAATTGTACCTTAGAACAGCATGACAAGGCTTTAAGCATATTTTAGACCTAAAAAGCACTAAAGACTACCAATTAGCAGTATGCAGCACAGACACAGAATAACAGTCTGCCTCATCTTCCATACTAACTGACTGAATAGACAAGAAAGGCAGCTAAAACTACAAAAGTTCCTTTTTCACTTCTTAGTTTCTGGAGATTTTCAGAAGGACCAACTCTAGGCTGAACAGATCATGAAAAGGTGTATATGATAAAAGAAAACTGAGTTACTGAAAAGAAAGAGGCCAAAAGGAACTTTAATGTAAGTTAACTATATGCTAGCAACTAATAAAAAAAAGTTAAATATATGCTAGAAGCAATCACAAACCAAAGAAAGCATAAGAGTAATTTGCTTTTTGCATCCATGTAAAGACTTAATAGTTTGCCAAGACATAAAGATATAAAGCATACCTTGGGATTCTTCGGATGGTAACGCTTTTCACAGGAGTTTCATCTTCTGGATGGACAGTCAACAAGTTCTTGACCTACAATGTCATAAAACAAGTAGGCAATTAAGGCATTAATGACGAAAATGGAACATAGAGACAGAGTCACTACAAAGTTGGCTTGTCTTATTTTGATTTGAAATTAGGCAAAAAGGTGCTTCCAACTACGTCGATGGGAACTGCACAAATAAAGCAACGAGTACCAGAATTAGCCCTATTATGTTTGTAGGTTGGTCGTAGTAGACTGGTATCCTGCTATGCCCTTTCTTCAAAATTAAGTTCATCAAATTCCTGCACATAAATAGGAGAATATATAGTGTCAAGCAGCTGAAGAGGCATACATAAATCTATCATTTATTCTGACATCTAACAAATATAGAAACCTGTCCAGCTTCGCATTAATATCAATGGCAAAGATTTCAGATATCGGGGTCATCGCATCACTAGCTGTTTTGTCATGCAGCTCAAGAGCACCAGCAATTATCGTTGTCTCATCATGTGTTAGTTCTCCGCCTTTACCAGCCTGTTTACAAGTAAGCCACGGTATTAGAAATACAAAATAACCAACACATGGTAAGTCGGAATCCTAATTCAAGTGGTTTAGAGGCAGAGATTCTCTAGATCATAAAAGGTAGGAATTCCAATTCAAGTGGTTTAAAGGAAGCAATAAGTCAATTAGAAGATATAGGAAATAAAAACAGCTAGACGTATGTCGCAATGTGTAAGAAGCACAAGCACATAACCTGTATCAACAACATAGCTTCAATTAATTACCTCATTCCCATGCAAATTTACTAGAGTTTTCAACTCAGCTCGCCGGAAAAGAGCTCTATTTCCATGTCCCAGCAGAAAGTCCAGCAGCTGGAAATTACAGCAACTAAGTGAGCTATTAATTAAAACAAGCAACTACCATCCCAAAGCCAGCATTTGATAAACTAACTTGGAGTACAGTGCGCACTCAATTCAGAAAGACAATGAAAAGTTAACATAACCATTACCAAAAAAAGAGTCTACCTTGCTTATTGGATATGCAATAGGAAAACAGATCCAAACAAGAACACGAACAACTGGGGCTGTAGCTGCACCAATGGCCAGTCCATATCTTGAGCACACAGATTGTGGTATGATCTGCCCAACCACACAAGGAAAGCAGCACATGTAAATTCATCATGTGGTTTCCCAAACAGCTTAATTCATTGGCTTTTAAGGAATATAATACGTCTGAACTCTTGATAAGTTGTGTTTTTTAGAGCAATACATATTTATCAAATTCCTCCTTCATTAAATAAGCGGCACAAAAAGAGGAATAAGAAGCATTTTTCACTACGGATTCCGATTACATTCCATCCAGACTGTCCAGTACGCTAAATGACATCTTAAGGCAACAATCCACGGACGGTAATGGAGTGCAGAAGGTAACCCCCAAGACAAAAGCTCATTTGCCCGTTTCACCAATCTTGCAGTAGTTTCTCACTATATATTTCATTCAAAATTTTAAAGAGAAATAATTGCACTTATTTGAGTGGGAAGGAGTGACAACAATATCACCCCAAATTAGTAAAATAATCATAAAGCAACTCAGGAAAAAACTAATAACCCCTATTAACAAACAGCTTTGACTCTCCTAAGAATCAGATCATGTAATCAATGCGAATTTGGCCATCTGTATAAATTCAGGGTAGATAAAGTGCAGGGAGGCAGACACACCATTAGGACCCTATTACTCCGCCCCATCCGGGTGGATGAAGGGGAATTCCCCAGTTTACCCTTCCCACCCAACTGCCATCCCTAAATCTATATGTCCTGATTTAGTCAGTTTTGAAGCTTATACTCAACAAAAATAAAATCCTTACCTCACCAAACAGAAGAATCAACGTGACAGAAATCAGTATAGCACCCCAAGCCGTCACTAGGCTGTCAAGAAAGATAGGAAGTGCCTGAAAGGATATCATACAATTTTTAAAAGCTAAATAAGTATCCAAATTAAGCAAGAATTGCTTGTTGAACTTGAAATATATAATGATAATCTTGCTTACCTCCATAGCAGCAGCATTGCAAATAAGCAGAGTGACCAGCAATAAATGCTGATTTTTGACAACAGGCAAGATCTTCTCTGTTAATACAAAAGCGAAATTATGAATTTTGTCAAACCGTGATTCCCAAAATAAACATCTTGATGCAATGCCACCAGATCATTTCACAAAAAAAAAAAAAAAAATAT